ACCACTTACTGGCTGTGTGGCCTTGGATCAGTTCCCTTACCTCTCTGAGCCTTGGTGTTTTATCTATGACGAATGAGGGTGCCCACCTCTGAGACATGTTGCACAGTCGTATGTACAAAGCACTTAAGAGTGGGATTCCATCCCAATATTTACTGAGCCTTTGTTCTGTGCCTGACACTATTCTGTGCGTAGCAGACGTAGTAGTGGATAAAGTAAGACAAAACTCCTGCCCTTGTGGAATTATACTCTAGAAGGTGGGAGACACACTGAACAAGAAAAGCAAACAAAACAACCAGATGGTGACTGGAGAATGTTGGGAGGTTGTGGAGTAAGAGCTGCTGAGTAGATCTGGAGAAAAAGAGCCATTGCTAATGGGGTCTGAGGCCCAAGCCCTGAGAAAGGAAACGCTGGAAAGACACAAAAGTTACTGATATGCAAGCATCCGAGGGACAAGCGCCCAGGAGCTGATGCACTGTTCCTGTCCCCAGGGATGCAAACAGAACCAGGATGATGCTAGGGTTTGGGAACAGAGGGATCCAGAGGGATCCAAGGCCGAGCGTTCACTGAAAGAAAGGTGTAATCAGAACCTTAAAGATGGGAGGGTAGGCAACACGTACCAGGGCCCTGGGGAGAAGGGTTTTTCAGGAGGAGTAGGGGTGGTCTCAGAGCAATGACAGGGACAAAAGGGGGTGTCCACCCCTTCTGACTCTAGGAGTGACAAGGACTCATCGTGGAGAGGATGCAAGGAGCAGGCAGCCAGGCCAGGACGCAGAGGATCCCAGAAGCCACTCAGAATGCAGGGAGTGTTGCAGGGGGCACAGTGGGAGATTGGGCAAAATGAGTGAAGGTCAGGAGATGGCCCAGGGGCCAGGACAGGGCATCTCTTGTGGACTAGTGTCGGTTACAGGAAGGGCAGGACTGGGTGGAGGAGAGGAAGGGAGGCTTGGTGCTCTGATTGGTAAATGCTGGAATGAGAACCTAATGACCTCAGCCTCCAAGTTCCTCTAAGGAGTCCCCGGGCCTGGTGGCCAGAGGACTTCTCTCCCTCAACTGGACTGATGGGGAACTCAGAAATGGCTAGCTTGGCATTGTGGATAGAAATGGATTCATTTCTTCAACACCTGTTGCCAACGCAAGCACAATTCACAGTGCTCAGGATTCATCAGTGAGGAAATTCAGGCTCCAACCCTGCCCTAGCGGAGGGGAAGCTGATGGTAAGTGACAAGCGTCACAGATATACTGGTGACATGTACTGTGGAGAAGGTGAAAAGAGCAGGGCTGGAGGTGAAAGTCGGGGAAGAGTGAGTAAGTTATTAAAGACAGGCCTCTGTGAGAATGGGCCATCTGAGCAAAGACCTGAAGGGTGAGGGAGCCATGGGGATATCTAGGGGAAGGGCATTCCCAGGACTGGGAAAGGCCAGTGCAAAAGACCTGAGACAGAAGGGCTGGAGTGAAGCCATCAGAAGGAGATCAAAGGGAAAACCAGTCAATGGGGGAACATCAGAGGATTTGAGCTATGGAATCACATGACCAGATCCTTGTTTTCAAAGGAGGGCTCTGGCTGCTCCTCTGGGAATAGATGGGGTGACAGCTGTGGAGGTGATAAAAATGGGTCGTCTTCTGAACCTGCAGCTTAATTTACTATCTGTCTCTTCATCAGTTTCTGTACTCACACCTGCCTTACTCCCCACGCCATCCCCAGCACTAAGTGCCCTTTAGTGTCCATGGGAGCAGCTGACATTCATTCATTCATTCATTCATTTATAAATATTTATTGAGCCAGGCATAAATATAAATAATGTCCCAGACAGACAGACAGCAATCATTTGTGATTTATAATTTCTAGACAATGAAGAGACAGTTCTGGTATTTAACAGACACACCAGGAAGCCACGCAGAATTTGTGTCTGCCAGGCCAATGTTTCACCAAAGAAATACAATCCAGCCCCAAAAATCACTCCCATCTTCCGATGTGCCTCTCAGGGAATATGAAATGGGACCCAGTTGATAACTCAGGACTGCCTCCTTCTAAGAATCCCCCTTCCTGCCCACCTCAGTCCTCCCTGGGACTGCTGAAAGACAACTGGCTCTTTAAGTCTGTCCTCTCTCTTCTCCCAGTCCCAACACCATTAATTCCCTTTCTGTCTTCTCTCACCTCTCCTCCCAGCTTCCAGACTCAGCATCATAAAAGACAAGGAACCGGGCAGACAGATTGTGTGTTAGGTAGGGGAAGGAGATGAGGAAAGAGGTAGTGAAAACAAACACTTACCACTGCCCCTGGCACACCAAACCACCAGCTTACACCAGGCACTGACCCTAAGGTCAGGTCATGGTCTCTTATGCAGTGACCTGGGGGTGCATTAGTGGCTTCATCTCTGTCCCTGGGTGTTTCATTTAAGGCCTGATGCCTGCTTAAAGACTGGATAAGGAAGGATCAAGGAGGAAGGACACTGCATAATTGCTATCCTAGGGGGGAATCCTACGGAAACACCTCTGTGCCCATATATCCTTTAGGCACACCAAGGTCACATCCAGAACCAAACCCATCTCTCTTGAGGCCTCAATGTCCTCATCTGCAGAAAAGTAATGCCTTATAAAGTTCTTGGAGGATCAAATGAGACAATATATGTGCCTGGCTCATTTTCATTGTTTGATGAATTCCAGCTGTCGTCACTATAGCTTCTCTGACTTCCAAATTTCCTCTGCTGCTAGATTATAAACTCCCAGAGGATGAATCTGTCTTATCTTGGTATCCCCAGTGGTTAATTCGGGGCCTGGAATACAATAGGTGCTTATCAGTGCTGGATGAATTGCTGAAAAATACTTGTGGTCAAGGTTCCCCCCCACACACAGGATTTAAAGCTAAGCTTACCCCTTCCAAAAGGTTCTGGTATTCTCAAAATGAAGAGCAGCACAGAGTGGGTCATGGTGGAATGAGTCTGGCCTTTGTTATCAGACATCTTTCATCTAAGCCCCACCCCCTGGGCGAGGGGCAGTGTGGGAGGGCTGGGTCAGACAAGAGGCCCTTGGCAAGACTCCACTCCACCATACACTGAAGCTTAAGTCCAAGTTCACTGCACATCTGAGTCCTGGTTCCTGGAACTGAATTCCCCAATCTGCACTCTAGACAGGAACAAACCAGGGTGAGAATGAGGAAGGAGGCAGGGTAGGTAGTGGGAGATGCGGCTCAGTCAGGAAATGAACTCTGCCATCTTGCTGCCCCTCCCCACCGCCAGAGTCAGGCTCTGCCCTGGCCACCAGGACAGAAAATTCCCAAGAAGACACTGTGGATCCTGCACCCCCCTCCTGGCTCTCTATCAGTTATCAGACAGCCTGACAGGAGATAAGCCAGGCAGAGAGCTGTCTGGGCCTGAGCCACAAGGGAGAACATAATTAAAAAGTCACTGCTGGCCTGGAGGGTGGGGGAGCACCTGGGGGGGTCTTAGCAGGGACACAAAGAGGACCTAGCAGGGAAATGTCCTTCCTGGAAAAAGGGCAGAGTAATCAGCACTCATTGAGCAGTCTTGCAAATAGATGGCAACAGGCCACCAACCCATGGCAGCTTTGCCTGGCTCAGACACAGGAAAACTCAGAGAGACCTGGCCTTGAACTTGAATTTCATACACTTTGCTTCCCATCCCCACCCCTCAAAGGCATCTGACTACTTAGGAGGGGCTCCAGGGACCCAGTAAATATGATACACTGTCCTGAGACATGCTCCAAAGGCCTTTGTGTTGAAAGGATGAAAGCTTGTGGTTCTTTTATTCACTTGATCAGCACGGAGGGGTCTATGAGCCCCAAAATTAGACTTGATTCACATCCACATATGGAGACTATGTGCTGTAAAGGCCGGGACAGACAATGACAAAATAATCTCACAGAGCAAACTGTAGCACACAATCTGATAGAAATATGCAGTGGGTAAGAAAAGAGGTTCTGGAAGAAGGATGCCCAAGGATGCTGGCACGAGTGGCCTGGCCTCCCTCCCTGTGGAGGGGACACTTGTTGACACTGAAGAAGGAGGAGAAGGCTACTAGACAAAAGACAGGTGTAGGGCCAGTCTTCTAGGTAGAGCAGCAAACACAGAGGTAGAGAGAGTGAGACTCGCTTGAGGAGCTGCTGAGACCCACCTAGCATGTTTGGGAATTGTGCTGATAGCAGCTTGGGAGCAGGCAAGGAATAGCCACACTGGGTCATGGGCCACCGTAAGGCTTTTAGTCTCTGTTCGAAGAGCAATGGGAGCCATTGGTGGGTAAAAGAGAGCAGCAGAGTGGTATCGATGTGTTCACTGTGTGTGTTGGAATGTTCCTCCAGTCCAGAAGAGTAAATTCAAGAGACCGGTAGGAGCTGAGGTCCAGGTAGAGATGGTGGTGGCTTGGGACCAGGATGCTAGTGACAGAGAAGGAAAGACATGCAGGGAAGTGGGGGCTTTTCCAGAAAAATCACAACTCTAGCGAAGGACTGGGTTTGGGGGTAGGATGGCAAGAAAGAGGTACCAGGAATGACTTCTAGGTTTTTGGTCTACACACCTAGAGGGATGGTAGCTATCTTCATTTTATTGCCTTTAGGGGTGCTCCTCACACCTCTCACAACCCAAGCATTGACTGGTGAGGACATCCACACAGTCAAAGGTAGGGACTGGCTGAGATGCTCCAGAGCCTTCATTTGTAGAGGAAAATCTAAGACTGAGAGATCATGTGACTCACAAAGGGGCAATTGGGAGCCCAAGTGCCCAGCCCCACTCCCAGTGCAGACCGTAGGCCGAAATCCAGGTTGGACTGGCAGCTTCGGCATTACCCCTGACTGTGCGTGAGTCCCAAAAGGCCTCAGGTTTTCTACCTGCGGAATGGACCAGGAGAGACAGCCATCTCAGGGAGGATGGTACTTACCATGGGATCACTAACGGGGACACTCCAGTTGTCTAGGGGCTCGGAAGTGGGAAACCCAGGTTGGAGAGTGCAGGGCCTCTCCCCATCTCTTGCCTGCTCTGTCTCCTGCAGGCCCTGAGCTGAGTACCCAACAGGATGCCTGGCCTCCTGAACCGCATCACAGGGGCAGCCCTGCCCCTCACTGCGTCTGATGTCACCTCCTTCGTCAGTGGTTACGCCCTGGGGCTGACTGCCTCTCTCACCTATGGCAACCTGGAGGCTCAGCCCTTTCAGGGTAAGAACCCCTGTGGGGCTCCCCCCACCTCCAATGTTGAGTCCCTGTCCTGTCGACATTGGGTAAGTCAGGTGATCTCTCTGAGTTTCAGTTTTCTTTTTTGTAAAAAGGAATCCAGGCAAATAGCAAGGAGGGTGAGTTTTTGAGCTAAGGTTTGAGTCCAGCCCCAGCCCCAGCCCCTCTCTTCTAGCTAACTGTCCCAGCACTGCCCACGTTCCACAAGGTTCATCCTTATCAGACAATCAATCCCATATGTGCTTAAAGGAGCTTTCCAACAGAGGAAGAACCGAGTCAGCTGAAGCCAGGCACCCACCTCCCCTCATTCCAGGCTCTGCTCTGGCTCCTATGACCTTGGGAAAACCTCAGTCTCCCTCAAAGTCAGGATGCTCCTCTCTCTCTGTCAGACGCCTGGGGAGGGGTAGATGAGGTAATGCAGGAGGAAGGACAGTGTGCACTGAAAGCAGCCTGTGAATATGACTCAGCAGTGGGGGGCAGTCAGAGTGTGGAAAGGCGCTGGCCATCAGAGTCCTTTGTAAATCACCTCTCCCAGAACACTAGTCAGAAAGCTCAGTAGGGCCAGGACTCCCTTTTTGTTGTTAGCAGCTACAGAGCCTCCTGATCCCTAAACCAATGTCCAGTGCTGTCCAGGGGGCTGTCACTGCCTGAACAAAACTTGCAGGGAACTTTCTTCCCCTGGGAAATCTGGACAGAGCAAATGGCCCTTCTCATCTGGGGGGGTGTAGGGGAAGAGACTTAAAGCAGGACCCAGTGGGGCCCAGCAGACTAAATTACTGGACAACTTTGACACAGCCCTCTCAAAGCAGGAGGAACAAGTGCTCCCATTGTACAGACGAGAAAACCGGGACTGCGGGGTAGGGCTCATGGAGGCCTCACCATGGACTCAGTCTTGTGCTGTACCTGCATTAAACAGTAGATCAAATGAGGCCTCCACACTGCAAACTCAGCATCACTTGGAAGCTGCTGAGAAATGCAGACTCAGGCCCTGCCTGGGATCCCCTGAGTTTGAATCTGCACATTAATAAGACCTGGAGGTGGAGGGTGGGAAACTATGTGCTTTTCAAGTTGGACAAGATATAGCAATATGTGCTACATACGATGAGCACCTTGCTGAGCGGCCACTTAAAATTCTCACAACAGGCCTTACACTTGTGGCTTTATTGTCCCTTTCTTACAGATGTTGCTGTGTGGCTTAGAGAAGCTAAATGTCCTATTCAAGACTAGGGAATGAGGCAGGGCCTGGATTCAAACCCTAGTCTAGCTCTGACCCATCCCCAGCTCTCAGTGCCACAGGTGGCCAACTGGTAGCCATGGACCAGACTTACCACCAGATATGTTATATTAGTCCTGTGCAGCAGGCCACATGACCATCCAGGTTTCTACTTTCTTTGAAAACCAGAAGTTCTGGCCACACCAGGCTTGAACACCTGCAGAGTAGGAGCTGGTGGGAGCCGGACTTAGCTGTCCTGCCCAGTGCCAGGATTCTGCTGAGCCTCTTAGCCTCCTCTCAGGAGCAGAGAGTTCCAGCCATCTGGCAGGCCCAAGGCTCAATTCCTTTCCAGGAGTGGGGTGTTCAGGGTTGGGCTGAGCACCCCACAATCCTGGGCCCCACTCCTACAGGACTCTTCGTGTATCCCCTTGATGAGTACACCACAGTGATTGGCTTTGAGGCTGTAATTGCTGACCGCATCGTGACAGTACAGATCAAAGACAAAGCCAAGCTGGAGAGCGGCCACTCGGAGGTCTCCCGTGTCCAACCTGCCACTGTCACAGGTAAGGAGATCCAAAGGGCCATGGAAGGGCATCCAACTGGACTCAGGAGTCCTGAGATGGCATCCATGACCTTGGGCCAATCGTGAATTTCTCTGAACCTCACTTCCTTGTCTGAAAATATTTCATTGTTTCTGTTCTCACCAAAGCATGGTGAGGATCAAAGGAGGGAAGGCAGAAAAAGGGGTTTCAAGACGTCTCTAGAGAACAGATGAGCAAATCATCCAAGTTCAAGGTCATATGAGTCACACAAGAGCCTGACTCCATAGCCTGTTGCCCACAAGGGCTGTGAGCTAAGATGAGAAATGAACTCATCTGTAAAATGGAGTAATTACACCACCATCCCACCCAGTGTGCACAGAGCACTTCTGCCACAGTAGGTACTCCAGGCATTGCTACTGATTTCTGTTACTGAAGAAGCTGAGGATCAGAGAGAGACACTGACTGGCTCAAAGTCACACAGCATGTGAGTGACAGAGGCAGACCAGTTATCACGTGATGTAGAGACTCTGACCATTGGCTCTGTGATCAAGGTGAAGTTGATTCTCCTGATCAGTAAGATTGTCGAGAATCTTTCAGTGAGCACTCATCATGGTCAGATGCAAAGTTGTCTTTGAACTGTGATTTCTCATGACCTGAAAGAAGAGCTAGAAAGTGTCTGGGAGTAGCCAGGATGCAAAGTTGAAAGTGGCTGTGCTAAGAAAGGTCTCGGTATGTTAGAGGAGGGGAAGCAGGGTCTAGATTAAGACCCTGAAAGGTCTCCATGGGGTGGATGAGTAAGACTGGCCCGGTGGGCAGGACAGTGGGCCTTTTAGATGAAATGGGACAGCGTGAGCAGAAGCATGGTTGGCACATGTGGCTTCAGACCCAGCCAATGAGTTAGTTATTGGCTGAGTAACTTAGGCAAGTCACATCACCACAAACCCTGCTCAGCCTGTTTTCCTATCAGCAAAGCCCACTGCTTGAACCCAGCACACAGCAAGTGTAGCAGGGATCAGAGATAATACATGCACAGCCCCTGACGCCAGCCTGGCACTTAGGGAACATTCTGCAAGAGGGGGTTTCCATCACCCCTCATTCCTGCACACCGGGAAAGGTGGCCTTGGATGAGGATTTGGAGCGGATCCTGTTCGTGGTCAACCTGGGGACCATCGCCCCCATGGAGAACGTCACCATCTTCATCAGCACCTCCTCGGAGCTCCCAACGCTGCCCAGCGGGGCCGTGAGGGTCCTTCTGCCTTCTGTCTGTGCCCCCACTGTGCCTCAGTTCTGCACCAAGAGTGCTGGCTCCTCCCACCAGCAGGCTCAGAGGTAAGGAGGCCCCACCTAGACCGAAGCCAAGAGTAGTGGGGAAACAGAGGGTCCTTCATGTGAAAGCAGCAGGGTGCAATGGGGTAGACAGTGAGCAGAAGGTGAGGCCTTTGCTTTCAGGGCACTGTAGAACCTCCCAGAAATGTTCCTGGGTTGGGACTGGCAGAAGTGGGTACTGGGGTTTGGACAATGTGGGATCAGAATTTCCAGGATTTATTGTTTAAGTCACTTATGAGTTATTTTCTGATGGCATTTTATGCGCCAAACACGGGGCTGGGTGTTGGGGATAGAGAGGGATGACCCCTGCTGTTAAGGAACCTGGGGGAAGAAGAGAGTGCATTTTCCATTGTGTATCTTCCACACAATTAACTATGCAGCCCCTCATGAGTTTATTCCCGCCCATCGGGCAGGCAGAGCCAATAGTGAAGCTCTTGAGAAAGCCTGTGTCAAGTCCCAGTGGATCTCAAAGCTGCTCCAACAGAGGAACACAGGACAAATAAGCAAGTCACTTGATGGGAGTGTTAGGGAGGCCATGAAAAGGGGCAGGGGGGTGGGGGAACTCTTGTTCTCTGCCCAGATGAAACTGGGACTGCCAGCTTAGAAAGCAATCTGCATTTCCCAGCATGCACCCGTGACCCTGCAACCCCAGAGAAATTCTTTCACAAGGTCAAAGGGGACACTGGCAAAGATATTCATGGTGGTATTATTTGTGAGTACAGGAAGGTGAAGGCAGGGCAAATGAGAACAGGGATCAGATGCCCCAACGGCCAGGACTTTGGCTAACAGCCACCTGGACAAAGCTTAAAAACATAGCAATGAGTGGAAATTTAAAAAAGAGTGACTAGGATTCCTGCTAGAATGCAATCAGGTCCCTGTAAAACACAATCATGCTCAAATAGCAGCACTTATTTTACAAGGATTTGTGCACGTTTAAGGACACACACCAAAGACTTAGCAGCTGTGCCTGGAAAAAGGAGGGGAACGGAGCAAGGTCAGAGATGGGTGGAGGATAACCAGAAATGTGAGCATCCCAGTGGGTGATAGACTCTTTGCTGAGTGGCCACTCGTCAAGTCCTTAAGACAACTGGATAAGTATTGTCCCCATTGAGTGGATAGGAAAAGCATCACATAGAGGAGAAGTGACTGGTTCAAGGACTCCCAGCCCACACAGACAGACCCAAGAGGCAGAATGACATGGCACAAACCATTTCACCATGGAGCCAGGCAGACTGGGCCAGGATGCCAAGTTCCCAACTGTGGGCACTTGGGTGAGTGTCCTCAGCTTGCCGAGTCTTGGCACCTCCTGTGGGAAATGGGGCCCTGATGTCCTCCTCTTAGGGTCATGGTGAGAATATGATGGGAGCCGAGGAGCCAGAGCCCTGTGCCTGGAGCTTGGCCCATCATAGCTGCTCCTCTGAACGCCTGTGGCCTCTCTCTACATCGGACCCTCCTTGGGGTCAGGCTGAGTGGAAGACAAGTCCCAGGGTGGGAGGAAGCCTCTTGGCCCCCATAGTGTCCCTAGCTTCCTGGGAAGGCTTCCACCCTCTCTGTGTCTTCTTGCACCTGTGCCACCTCTGCCTGGGCTGCCTGTCACTCCCCTCCTTCTTGCACCTTCCCAGCAAAGACCGGCACTGCTTTGGCACCCGAGCTGTGGACTCCTGGAACAGACTGTGCCTGGCGACTCTCCTGGACACTGAGGTGTCCAACCCCATGGAGTATGACTTCAACTTCCAGCTGGAGATCCGAGGGCCATGTCTGCTGGCAGGTGAGAAGGAGCTACTCAGATTAGCAGGGGCCCAAAGAAGCCCCAAGGTAGAGAGAGGGCTTCAGACCCAAAGACCCCCTGGGAGAGGAAAGAAGAGGCTGGCAAGGAAGCCAATTATCCCAGACAGAAGACAAGCTAAAGCACACAGAGCTAAGTGGACTCCCATATCCCACTCCCCCAACAAGCTGCCCACAGACAAGCCCCTTCCAAAGCCCCTCACTCCCATCCCTGTGGCTTCCCTGGGAAATGTCCATCAGGGAATGATGGTTCTTGGTCCTCTTCTGGTGGCCACAGTTACAAAGTTGCTACCTGGATCTCACTGGGGCTCTTCAAATCTACTGAAGCCTGGCTACCACCCCAAAGATTCTTGGGTACACCCTGGGAATGAATATATAAAGCTCCCCAAGTGATTCTACCTTGCATCCAGGACTGGGAACCATCGCTCTGATGTTCTCTTCCCAGCCCACTCAGGGCTCTACAGGATGCTAGGCTGTGGTTTCTTATCAGCAAGTGTTCATCTCAGTGCAAGACATATTTATGTGGCATCTACCAAAAAAAGCAACCACCATGGGCTGTCTCTATCTGCTCAGCGCATGTAGGGCTCTTTGTGTGCCACCAGGAGAAAGCAGCTCTCCTGACCACTACTGGATCCTACAGTCAGGGCAGGAAGAGCCATTACACACCACCTACCTAAGCCTATAGGTTTTATATGTGGGGACATTGAGGAAGCCGCATAGTAAGTCAGGAACCCCCCATGGGGCTGGCACATCGGTCATCTCTGGCCTGAGTTGCCATGTCCCCCACTGAGCTTCTTGCTCTATAGAGCTGCTGACTCTGTCTCTCCTGCCCCACACCCTGCCTTTCTGTGGTGCTCAGGGGTGGAGAGTCCCACGCATGAGATCCGCGCGGATGCTGCCCCATCTGCCCGGTCAGCCAAAAGCATCCTTATCACCTTGGCCAACAAACACACTTTCGACCGGCCCGTGGAGATCCTCGTCCACCCCAGCGGTACGGTGCCTGTGGGAGGGAGGAGACGCAACCCTTGTGGACTCAGGGGAAGGGTCAGGAGCATGTGGGGCAGAGGGGAGGAGACCAGCTACTTGCTTCCTGGGAAATTTGGCTCTAGGAGGCAGTCAAGAGTCTCCAGCTCCAGAGAACTGAGACTCATTTGCCTCTAGGCCAGCTGAGCAGAGGCGCTTTGAAACCCTAAGCTCAGTGAGACCCTGGAAGCTCTGCACCCTCAAGGAGACCCTCTGTCTCCTTTAAGAATTCACAGAATTGGGTTCTGCATCCCATCCTTTTACTTTATAAACTGGGCATAGTACTACACACCTGTAATCCCAGCACTCCAGATTATAGTTAGGAGGATCATGAATTCCAGGCCAGCCTGGGCTACATAGCAAGACCCTATCTCAGCAACAACCTCAAGTGGTAGAGCACTTAACTAGCAAGTGCAAGGCCCTGGGTTCAATCTTCAATACTACCAATAAATAAATAAAACAAAGAATTCACAGAATGTCTGGATCAGAAAAGATCTCCAAATCACTTGGCCCAGTCCTAATCTCCTGTTACAGATGGGTAAACTGAAGCCAAGAGAGGGACAGTGTGGTATTCATGGCCACCAGACTCTCCTACCTCTCCCACCCCCACTGCTTCAGGGAACCAGGGATCCCACCTCCTCTTCCAATGAGGAATCCACCCCTATGAAGACGTTGTTTCCAAACCAAGATCCCTGGCCTCTCCCTCACACCCCGGACGAGGGCTGAGAGTCCACCTCATCTCTGCAGAGCCCCACACGCCACATGTCCTGATGGAGAAAGGGGACATGACCCTGGGAGAGTTTGACCAGCACTTGAAGGGAAGAATGGATTTCATTAAAGGGACCAAGAAGGACAGCAGTGCGGAGCGGAAGGTGAGCTTCAGTGGTGGAGTTGGGTAACATCAGAAGCTTGATCTCCATGGAGCCAATAAGAACACTGAGCCTTGGTGGGAGTGAGGGGGATCACCTCAGGTCCTGAGGTCACACAGGAAGCTAGTGGTAGATCCTGGACAAGAAGTGTTCCCTCACCGGGGCTGGGGCACTGCAGGGCAGGTGGAAATGGACTTCCAAATGAAGCAGTCACTCTGGTCTGTCCTCCTGCCAGGTCACCTTCTCCTACAACCTCCAAAGTTCCTAAGCCAGGCAAACTCACAGCCAATGACAGAAACAGCCTTGGCCTTCTCCAGGCCACTCAGCCCTATGGCTGAGGGCCCTCTCAGCTGTCTCTTGACCTGGCAGGCCTCCCTTTTCCCATCTGCCAAATGAGCTCCTTGCTCTTTCTCCCTCTAGGTTCCTCACTCTCTATTACATAAAGAATAAAAGCAACCCTTTCCCTCTGCCCTACCCCACTCAGGAAGCTAAAGGATCTAGAAGACTGGCAGGGAGAGGGGAGATGGTGGAGGCTGAGCTGCCTGCCACAAGTTGCACCCAGTAGTCTCTTCCACAGAAGGCCCTGCACACCGAGCCACAACCTAAATGCCAAGTCTAAGAACAACGGCACTCCTTGTTCTATTGGCCCACTTTGTAGATGAGAAGATTGAGGTCTGGCACCCAAAGATAATCAGCAAGTTAGAGGAAGTCGAGAGGATTGTTATTTCAAGACTTAGATTTGGTGACAGCGAGGCTAAGGAGTTGGAACCAATCATGTGGGGGTGTTTAGCTGGACTTAACAGCCCCTCCAATCCTCTGATGGGCTAGCCGGACTTAACAGCCCCTCCAATCCTCTGATGGCCTAGCTGGACTTAACAGCCCCTCCAATCCTCTGATGGCCTAGCTGGCACCAGGGTAGTGAGGAGGAAAGTGGATGGAAAGCCTGGATGACCCATTGCTTATTCAATTCCAAAGGTCAGATACCTCCCCCACTGGAAGCACCTGCTGGGTGGAGGACAGGAGACATGGCAAGAGGAAAGAGTAGGTGGCCCAATGGCCATCACCCCCTTCCTCTGGAAACACCTGCCCTCCCAGAATCCACTGGGAAAAAGCTGGGCCAAGTTCTCGGCGGCGGTGGGGGTGGTAACACCAGGGGTGCTACCAAGCTCTGAGGACCGCAGCATGTAGGTGGGGTAGGGAGGAGACAGTGGGCTTCCCAGGCCTGGGGCTGGCTGTCCTGCCTGCCAAACCTAAAATCAATTAGTTCTGGGATGGCTGCAACAAATGAGAATTAATTTGCCACCTTGGGTTGGTTATGCAAATACCCTGTATTCTCATGAGCTCCAGGATGACAGCAATCAACCAGCAGCTGCTAAGAAGTGATGAGTTTATTGTAATTGGGTAATGGCAGCTTGAAGAGACACTGGTTATCCTGAGCCAAAGCACCCACTCTTCCTCTGAAAGGAAGAAGCAAGGTTCCTGGACAAGTCTTCTCTTACTGCCAGATGTGGCTGTCCTACCTTGGCCTGTGTTATCAAAAAAAAAAAAAAAAGCCAGACTGAGCAGAGGCCTTTAACAAAAGGGCTCCATGTGAAGGGAGGGGGGACTGGCTTTCCCCTTCCTTCCCTAGGCAGAAAGGAAGTCAGGTTGGGGGCAGCCAGAGGGAAAACATCATTTAGGAAGTATGGGTGGAATAAGCAGGCAAAGACTGATCTTGCAAAGAGGGAGAAATATCCCTGAGACAGATGTACAGAGAAAAACAGAGACTGAAAACAAAAACCAGAAAGATGCAAATGGGGTCAATGGTAGACAAAAAAAAAAAAAGACACTCAGATTCATTCTCTCCTTTATTCATTCAACAAATGTCAGCTCGGCTCTAGGCCTTAGAGGAACCACACTGAAAATGACACATCCCTTATCCTCGTGGACCTTATATTTTAGAACTGAGAGATAGACCAGAAGTCAACAAGTGAGCAAAATCAGTTTTTTTAAAAGGATGGGAAATAGGAGAACAGAATGATATGATAATGAAGTTTTTCAAATGCCTGACTGCGAATGAGACCTGGCAAATGGCAAAGAACTCACCTTGAGAGGAGTCGGCAGAGAGCACGATATGGCAAAGAACTGTTGGCAGACTAATAGTGAGCTGTTTGGAAAACAGAAGGCTAATGTGGCTGAAATGTTTGGAGTTGTGTGGTAGAGATGAGGTGGACAGGTGGGAAGGGACAGACCAGCTAGGGCTTCGTAAAGCATGGTGCAGAGGACAAAGGGAAGCTATTGCTTAAACAAGAAGATGGCAGGAATGATCACTGGCTGCTGTGTGCACAATGGGCCACAGGGAGGTAACAGTAGAAGAAACAGGCAAGTAATAAGAAACGATTGCAAAGGTCCAACAAGAGACGAGCCGTCCTGAACGTGGGTGGTGCAGGGAGACAGCAAGCAGTGGACAAATTCAGATGTCTTTTAGCTGCAGGACTGTTGTCCTTTGCTTAAGGCTGGATGTGGGGATGAGGAAGAGAAAACATCAAGGACAACTGCTAGGCCTTTGATTTGAGCAACCCAGTGGGTGATGTCATTGGTGGAGATGAGGAGGGGACCCAAACAGACAGAAGCTGAGAGGAGACAAGGCAGACGTGTGCACCCACAGATTCAGCCAGATAGATAGTGATGGAAGACAGAGATAGATAGTAGATATAGATACATACATACATGCATAGATGATAGATAGACACATAGATGATAGATGATAGATAGAAGATAGATAGATAGACTAAGAGGAGATGAGATTGGGAGTGGAGTGACGGTGAGAGGGGTCTGCAGCAGCATGTGACCTCAGAGCCCCTCATGATGCCACATAAGATGACAAAAGCATTGTCCTTCCTTTAACATTTACTGATCCATCTCCAAATTAGTCCTGGAGAAGCAGAAGAGACTAAGGCATGGCCCACCTTCAAGTAGCCGAAGGGCAAGCAGAGCCAGGAGCACAGGCTGCATTTGGTATGAAAAGTGCCTGGGCCCCATAACCATCAATAGCATCCAAAGCAACAGCAAAGTCAACAATGACTCCCTGTCAGGCAGTGGTCCTCATAAGTATGCATTTAACCCATACAACAACTCCATGATGTAGACACTCTTGACTTCATGTCAAGAATGAGGAAACTAAGTGAGTAAGTCCACCCGGAAGGCTGGGGAAGGCTTCCCAAACAGGTAAATTTTGAAGGATGAGTAGAAATTTGTCAGTAAGAGAGAATTAGTGAACCAGGAAAACCAAGTTCATGGCCAAGATGAGCCAGAGAATGGCTTGTACACCGAATGTGAAAGGGAAATTTTATTCAACTGGTGGGGGAATTGCCATCTGTGCACTATGTAGTCCATCTTCACAGCTACCCTGAAAAGTGGAGAGTTTTATGCCATTGCACAAAGAGGAGGGACTTGTCCAAGATAACACAGTTGCATGGTGACAGAGCTGGAATTCAAACCCAGGTCTTGCTGCCTGCAAAGTCGTATTTATTTTGCAATCTGTGAATATCTAGCCAACAGAAGCCAAGGACAGGCAGCCTGGAAGTCCTTGGTACAGAGTACAAGTGGGATCTAGATAATGCTTGGTGAGTGGCAGGAGACCAGCACGAGCCTCCAGAGGTATCTCAGAACTCCTCCATTGCCCAAGTCAAAGAGTCTTCCTTTCTCCTCCAGACAGAAATCATCCGGAAACGCCTCCACAAAGACATTCCCCACCATTCGGTCATCATGCTCAACTTCTGTCCTGACCTCCAGTCTGTGCAGCCGAACTTGAGAAAGACCCATGGGGAGTTCATCTTCCTCATCGACAGAAGCGGCAGCATGAGTGGGACCAACATCCACCGTGTCAAGGTACCTGCTGAGGAGCCCCTCCCCATGGGCCGGGGATCCAGTGTAAATCTATTCCAAGAAACAACTTTTCAAAAAATCAATTTAAGCAGAGACACCCAAACTCAATTTGCTCCCAAAATAAAACCTTCAAGTGATGGGAGCAGAGGCAGGACAGTGGACCATTTACAAGGGAGGAAGTTATCAGTAGCCATCCTTGGCGTTCCACAAACTTTTGTTGCCTGCCTGCTCTCCTTAAGCACCTCACTGGGTCCTGAGTGGAAAGGAGTGCAAAGGAGAGAGGGAGGAGACTAGCTTGTGCTGAGAGGCTGGTATGTGCCAGATATGGTGCCAGCCACTCAGTGTGCACATTTATCTGAGGAGGTTCCTCTTATTGTCACCACTTCTTATATAGGCAACCTGATCCTGAGAGTTGCAGTCACCCAAGGTCACACAACTAGGGTGGTATATAGTTGAACCCATGTCTTCCTGACTGCCCCCACTACCTGACATCAGAGATTCACTGGACATGTCCCCTGCCCTCAAGGGATGGATAGAATCTAGTAGAAAAGATTTGGTTCTTCTTCCTAAATGCCTAATGTGAGCAGAGCCCTGTGTGTGGCCTTTGGTGAAACAACAGGATGCAAAGGCAGTTGCTCCCTTCAAAGAGCTCACAGTCAAGTGTGGGACACGGCCTGCTGGCCAATCAGAATGCCGAGGGGTAGGCTCCCTTCCAAGGAGAGTGCTCCATGAGCGTGGAAGAAAGAGCAATGAAACCCTCCCCGCCCATCCAGACCATTCCTCCCCATCTTGATCATGATATTATCCAATGCTCCCTTGTATTTTGACTTCTGCAGGTGTGTGTCTCCCCTCTGGAGTTATGGACTCTTATAAGAAATGACAGTCTGTTGATTGAACTGGGTAACAGGTTAGAGTTCAGGAGAATGAGAGGTGAGGGAACAAGAAGTAAATGAGGCTCCTCTGTCACCTGAAGTTTCACAACCCCCCACCTCCAGTTTGTCCTTGGAGCAAGCTCTTGTTTCCAGGGCAACAAGCTCAGCAAGGGGATCTGAGAGGCCAGGTATCTCCTCAGGCATGCTGGGACGGGGTTCTGTCTTGAAGCACAACATAGTAAACAGAGACGAGTCCCAAGATCGTACATGAGACACCTTGATCCTGGGATGCAGGGCTGTTTGTTACCTTCTTCCACCCCTGCCCACCACCAAAGGTGAGGAGAGTGGGCAGCAGTCCGTGGTGCTGGAGTGCGAAGAATACCCCACGCCTATGGAGTCTCCATGTTCCATTTCACAGCCATATTGATCTGTAAAACTTCCCCTCAGTTACTCTAGAACATCATAGGATCATAAACCTAAAATATCCCTTAGGAAGCATTTCATCCATTTTCCCTCCATTTCCCAGGTAAGGAACCTGAGCCCCCAAGAGGCTACATGCCTTCCCCAGCATCGCAGGGCTGGCGAGGGAGCCTGGGCCTTCCATGTCTGGCCTCAGTGTTCATTTTCTTCACATTACTTATGGGGAATTATGCATACACTCCCATTTTCTGTTTATGTCGTTTCTGCAGCATGGCATTGTAGAAAGAGCAGTCCTGGGGTCCAGGATCAATTCTGCCATTGAATTGCCTTGTGGCTTTGAACAAATTGATTCTCCATTCTGGGTGTCATTTGTCCTTTCTGTAAAATGAAAAAGAAGGATTAATTCAGGGAGGGCAAATATATGTCACCTGTCCCTCTACTACTTTCTTCCAAGCACAGGCAGCTTTTCCTGCTAAGCCTGAACTCAGCCTATATCCTTCTCATGCTAGTCTTACAGGCAGTTCCTATCAGTTAAATGGAATTGAGTGAAAATTCACTTCCTGAACTAAAGTGCTCTCCAACCTTTGCACTCTAGAATTCTCTGACAGTAAGTCTCTCCACCTTTCCTTTGGAGTCTCCTTTGCTCTTCTCCAGTTCAGCTCATTGAGCTCAAGGTCATCCCTTCACAAATGGCTTTGCATAGGTGCAATCCATCCTGCTGAACAGGACCTTTTCAGAGAACAGGACAGAAAAATTACTCAGTCCTCTTACGCACCTTTCCCCTGCTGGCAATAAGGCAACTGCAGAGATTGCTTGAGTTATTCATTATGGTTCATTGGGTTGAAGTTTTAGGAAAAATTAGGCTGAGAGAGGAGGGAGAGAATAGAAATCCAAACAGCCCATGCCAGAGGGGAAAGTGCAGCCAATTTAATTTCCTGCAGCTGGTCTCATTCTTCTGCTGCCAAAAACATGTCTTTAAAAATTCTAATAGGTGTGAGCAGAGAGGACCTGGATGGACCAACAGAGTCTCCTGCCAGCGGGAATATGCATTAGTGGCTAATGAAAAAAGCAGATATTGACTTCTTTTGTGAAGGCACAGAATGTATTGACACAAGCAATGGAGAGAGACAGAGAATAGCTGATGTGAATGTTTCATGTTAATGTGTGTGGGGGATGGGAGGGGGCCGTGGCTCTGCGGAACCTGGAAGGTCATATGGTATGAAATTGCTGCAATCCACTGGCAACTCTTTCCTTCTTGATTTAGAGATGACAGTTTGTTTCCCTGAAACCATGCTGAGATCCCAAGGGTGCCATCAATAAACTATATGGGGGGTGAAGAGGAGATCTTCAATCCTGAGCTCTGTGCCAAGGCAGAGCCAACATAAATAAAGACTTCCGAGCTGTCTTTTGAAAGTCAAGGTTCTTCAGTTTTGTCATCCAGTGCAATTCCTTAGTTCTCCTGAGCCTCGTTTCCTTACCTGTAAAATAGGGATATTAATGCTAATATACACCTCATTTGGTTGGTAATAATAACCATTTACTGACTGTTTCCTTTGTCTAGGCTGAAGCTCAGAGACATGTCATACTAGCCCAAGGTCGAGTTAGTAAAGGTTGCACTTATACCCGGATAGATTTAATTTCAAGGTGTACCATCTTACCCCCTGTACTATAATATGTACTATGGAGAGCAAGGAGCTTATTCATTTAAAGTGCACGACGATTGACAGTAATTGCTTGATATCTATCATTGCACCATCATTATCATTACTTTTGCTCAACCCCACCACCTTGTTTTTTTTCTATTATTTTTCAATATACTTTTGCCAAGGACCCCTGGTGGCATCTAATTACGTAGGTTAAGACACTAACTTTCACAGACTTTGGAGGTAAAGTGACACACGTCTGAATTCTGGATCTGCTACTTACTAACCTCAGGCTCACCAACAATTCAGCTTACCTCTCTATGCCTCAATCTTCTCTTCTTTAAAATGGGATAATAAATGCAGCCCTACCTATCTGCCTCCTGGACAGTGAATCTGTGAAGATTAGTGAGGTAACGTACATTAAGTACTTCCTTTGCACCCAAAAAATAAGAGCTAAAGAGACTGTCCCTAGGGATCTGAGGTTGAGTCTAATGCAGAAGCCCTAGATGAGGGTCAGAACCCACTCTGTTGGCAGTAATGTGACCTGGACCTGCCACTTTCCTCCCCTAGATGTCTATTTTGCTTTGGCTATAAGGGAGTGATGGGTGTTCCCTGCTCTCTCTGCCTCTTGGGGTAGGCAAGAAGTGAAATGGAACTGGCCAGCCATCATAGAGTGGCTTTGACAAGTCAAACTTTTTGTATGGATGACAAGTCTTAGGATGATGGCTTTGGTCTAGCCTCCACAGATTTTGTGATCTGTGAGTGAAGGGAGAAAGTAGTGCTGGCTAAAGATGGAGGGTGCCAGGTCCTTTCGGAAGTGGCTTCTTGCTGGAGTGATAATAGTGGTGTGTGGTGGCAGGTGCCTGAATCCTGAAAGTGCGTTTCTCGTCTGCCAGGATGCCATGCTAGTGGTCCTTAAGAGCCTCATGCCAGCCTGCCTCTTCAACATCATTGGTTTTGGGTCCACGTTTAAGACTCTCTTCCCTTCCAGCCAGACCTACAATGAGGTAAGGAGAGAGCAAGTCTGGGACCAGGAGGGTAGTAGGCAGTGGATAGTAGAGGAAAGAAGGAAAAAGAAAAGAAGGGATGACCCTGGGGCTCACCTAAGAAGCTGTCCACCCCTGGGGAGCTGAAAACTAAAGAGAAGCCATGTTTTCTTAGGCAGCTCCTGATATCTCAGTCTTCTGACATCTTCCCTCTTGACAATAAAATAATACATTGGGTGAAGTATGTGAGTGCAAGAGATAAATAAGGAGCAGGGAGAGGGGAGAGGGGACATGTCCATGGCCTGCCACTCACTGTAGCCTCTGTCTCACAAGGACTATGGACTCATACAAGGTAGAGGTAAAGAAATGGATGATGAGGAGCAGGACAGAGGATACGTATTAGTGGTAATGGAAGCGGCCACAGAGGAGCTCAAGGCTAATCTGCAGTTTGAAACAGGAGGGCTGTGGTCCCAGCAGCACATTCAAAATTAGAGCATCCTAACCACATCTAAGAAGAGGAAGGCAAGGAAGAAGGGAGGGAGAGAAGGACATGTTGCCTACTTTTCTACTAAAAGTAAATTTAAGAATTTTTATAATGCAAGAGTAATAAACATTTACTGCCCCATAAATTTTAAATCTAGTTAATCATAAAGAAAAAAATTAAATCTCCCATAATCACATCAGTCAGGCAAAAGAAGAAGAAGAAAAAAAAAAATCCCTGTTAAGAGCTTGGTATAAATTGGTCCAGACTTTACGCATTATACACATTTTCAATCAAGACAGGATTAGAATATTAATCCATATCATAATTTTAATGGCTGCCTAGTATTTTACCACTCAGATAGATTGGGGTTTATTTCATAACCCTTCACAGTTACACATTTAAGCTGTTGCCATTTTTTTCTTATTTAGCCATCTTTGTATAATAGATTTTGCGTGCATCCTTACTTGTTCCCTTGGGGTAAATTCCTGGTCCTGATGGTTCAAAAGCTACATATGCATCATAAGACTTCTGATATAGGCCATTACTTCTAAGTCCCCTCCACGCATGGATGTCAGGGGCAGGAGGACTGTGTGCAGAAGGAACCAACTCTTGTTACAATGACATTCACCCGATGCCAGTAATCCTTGACCAGTGGAGTCCCACAGAGTTGATGGTCCAAGAGGGAGGAAATCTGAAGCCCAGACTGGGGAAACAATCTCTTTTTCAAAGTGTCACAGGGAGTTGGTGCCAGAATCAGGCTTGGGGCTCACATTTAAGATCCCCAGCCTAGTGTCTTTCTTCCACATCCCCTGTCTCCCCATAAGAAAAGGGAATGGCATCTGTGCTGAGGGATTAAGGGTTTAACATGCCATCTTTTCCAGGAGTGCTTGGTTTTTTGGTTTTGGTTTTGTTTCTTTTTGTTTGTTGTTTTTACAGGAACCCAGGAAGAATAGCATTAAGTCACTATACTGCAGATGTTAGTATTCCAGGCATCTGTAGGGGATCAATTACTACTAGCCACCTAGTCTTCCCTTGGGTGAGGTCAGGGATGGGGCTGAACTAACAGCCAGAGAAACAAAGGGCTCACCCTGAGGGACTGTCTATCCCTGCCACTGTCCTTCCCTGCAGGAGAGCTTGGCCGTGGCCTGTGATAACATCCAGAGAATGCGGGCTGACATGGGTAGCACTAACATCCTCTCCCCTCTCAAGTGGATCGTCAGGCAGCCAGTTCACCAGGGCCACCCACGTCTCCTCTTCCTGATCACAGATGGTGCCGTAGGCAACACCGGGAAGGTGCTGGAGATACTGCGGAACCACGCCTTCTCTACCAGGTCAGCCCAAGTTGGAGATATAGAGCCTGGCTGTCCCAAGATGCCCAGGACTGGGGACACCAGAATCAGAGCAATATGTGCAAAATGCCACAGGGAGAGTACAGCACCACCAATTCCCAGAGGGCTATGCTTCCAGCCCAGGTGGCTGTGACTCTGTGCTGGCTGAGAGGCTATGATTGTGTGTGTGTGTGTATGTGTGTGTGTAAGAGAGAGAGAGAGAGACAGGGACAGAGACAAAGAGAGCCCCATAGATGGCCCTTCCTCCTTCTCCCCAACCCTGTGCCTAAACACAGAGCCAGCTCTGAGCTGTCTCTGCTGGACCATGCTCTCTTTCCCTAACCCAGGCAAAGTTGTAGAGACACTGGCAAACAGCAGCCTCTCTGTCGCCATCCCTCAGGTGCTATAGCTTTGGAATTGGACCCAATGTCTGCCACCGACTGGTGAAAGGGCTGGCATCTGTGTCCAAGGGTAGCGCTGAGTTCCTGGTGGAGGGAGAACGGCTGCAACCCAAGGTAGGTGGAAGGGCCTCCCATTCTCTTCGTGCTGGAGCCTCAGAAGCCCAGTCAGGTCAGGCAGCAACTCAGCGGCAGAGCTGAGATTTTATCCCACGTGTGAGCTCTGCACTGGGCTGCAGCTGGAACCAGAGAGGAGGAGGCCCCTGAGCAGGCAACTCTTGGAGCAATGCCAGGACACTTCAGCTCCCGCTCTCCAGCTGCTGGATCACAGACTGTCTTCTCTCCCTTCCCGCACAATTGACAAAATAACCCAATCCTTAGAAATTCCAGGCCTTCTAGGAAGAGAAACAGGCCTGGGGTTAGAGGCAAGAGGTTTCTGGGGGAGGGGAAGCATCTGGGAAAGAGAAGAGGAAGAAGCAGAAGGAAAGCTCTTCAGGCCATGAGGCGGGTCCAACCCCTGTGAAAGAAAAGGAAGCAGATTTTGCAGGGAGCCTCCAACTTCAATGCCCAGCAAAGTCTCAACTGACACAAAGATGGCCTGCAAGAGAGTCTGCATTGGGCTGACATGGTAAGCACTGGGACCTCAGCCATGTTCTTCAGTGGCTGCAGGTGTCCAGGGAGAGGAATGGTCTTGGCTCCAAAGCTGGGCACTGCCTCTGGAAGCTGTCACCCAGCTGTGTCCTTTGCAGCAAAAAGGCATGGTCTTTCTTGAAAGATTCAAAAGTGTATCTCTATGGCCGGCCCCACAATCCCCAGATCCTTTTCACAGGCTTCACGTACATCCAAGTGTACGGTCAGTCAAGAAGATGGTAACCCACGGCTGGGATTTATTGAACACCAATCACATGGCTGATACTTCAAATTTGTGTCTCATATACTCCTCCAACTACACCCTCTCACTTTAACAGAAGGGGAAACTGAGGCCCAGAAAGGCAAATTAACCTTCACAAATCTTCAATCTTTTTTTGAGGCAGGGTCTTGCTATGTAGCCCAAACTGGCCTTAAACTCACTATCCTCCTCCCTCAGCATTTTCTAAGTGCTCAGATCATAGGCATGCACTACTCTTTGACCCAAACCCTCCATGTGCCCTTGAGCTAGCCACAGTCATATGTATAAAATGCTATGCTTAGAGAAGATGACAGCAAAGACCCATTCCAACTCTGATAGTCCAGGAGTTGAAGAAACAGAGGTGTGTCCACTGCTGGAGAAGCCACCTAAGGCCTGTATTCTCTTCCTTCCTGCTCATACCCCTTAAGTTCATACCCGTAAAGTCTTTATGTGCCTCCTCTAAACACCCCTGCTCACACACCCATCTAACTCCCCAACAGATGGTCAAATCCTTGAAGAAGGCCATGGCCCCAGTCCTGAGCGATGTGACTGTGGAGTGGGTCTTCCCAGAGACCACCGAGGTCCTGATCTCACCAGTCAGCACCAGCTCCCTCTTCCCTGGAGAACGGCTGGTGGGATATGGTATTGTGTGTGATGCCTCCTTGTACATCTCCAATCCTAGATCTGTAAGTATCCTGGAAACCCCAGGAGCCAGTGAGGGTCCAGATCCACACCTAAAAGTCATCCTTAGCTGGAACGACTGCTCATGGCAGCCAGGAACTCATTGGAACTGGGTTACAGTTGTGGATAGAGTGGCCAGGCCATGGGCATTTGATAATGGTGACACTACGGTGTGGATGCCACCATCTTCTGCAGAAGAGCCTCTCAGGACTCTTATTTTAAATGTGGAGCCATAGCTTCAACCCAAGTCTGTTGAACAAGAGTCCCTGAGGATACGCCCCAGG